GACAGATTAAACATGAGACTTCACAATGATTTCAGATATATTTGGGGTCACTCAATCTGTTCCAGTACCCAGGAAATCCTATCATATTTAACGATCACGAAACTGACAAATAGCATTTTTTTTTAGAAAACAAGAATTCTTTTATAAATTCCTACTGTCACTCACCTGTAACTTCCAATAACATTAATTTTAATAATCAGGAATTTTGTCTAGTTTAACAAATTTAAAGGATGATGAACAACAGTATCTCAACTAATACTAAGTAACTGAAAGTAAGTTCTTGCATGTAACTGAAATGGGAGAATCTAGGTAAATTAAAATAGTTGTTCTAAATTCTTTGAGTATTGTCTTCATATTTTATTTAATTTCAGAAAAAATCTTTAATACATTTAATATAAAATTAATTATTTAAGAAAGTAAAGGTAAAACTTTACATACCTAAAAGTAAATTTCTCACAAAATCAACATCCCATTTCTCTACTATTTATATGATAAATATAAACTCCTGCCACTAGTGAAATATTTGTAAAAATACATTCATAGACCTGGTTGCAGCTCCAGATACATTATTACTATCATTATAACATCTCTCCATGAGAACATCCAGTATTTTTAGTCTAATAATGAATGCTTCTGCTAATACTATGACTATCAAAAGGAAGATAATTTCAATAGATTTTTTATTACCTATATAATCAGCAGTATTTCCCTTCCTAAACTCCATGTGCTACGTTTACTACTGGATAGTTATGGAAGATGAGATCTTCTCCTTTCTGAGTTGTTAGCAGCTGTAAAAATGATATAAAGTACATCCCTACTCCCTTCATAAAATGTTAAATATATAATTATATTTTTCTATTCGATGGTTATGAAAAAGAATTTTTGATCATTATATAAATGAAATATTTCTTGCCTAAAATACAGTTGCTTATTTGGATACTGTTCAGTTTAGTCCCTTTACCTATAATTGGCTCCATATTTTCTAGTAAAGATACTAACTATAACAATATTTTTCATAGAAAACTCATAAAATGTATTGGCTCCTTGCTTTTGATCATGATCTGCACTCTATGCAAACTGAGTGTGAGAAATATTTTGAAACATGACTGGCATAAGAGAAAATATGGGAGTCCTGTCAGATCTATTATGACAAGGTCATTTGCAAAAGAAAATACATAAAAAGTGGTAGCCATTGGGCAACAAGTTATTTAGGTCATTATGAGTTTTTATGAACCAATTAGAAAAAAAGAAAAAAAAATCAACTTTACACCTGTTGTTGTAATGAAAATTTTTTTGAAACTTTTAAAAATGGCAGTGATCACAAGAAATTCTAGCTTAAGAAACACATGGGAAATGAATATGACTGTAATTTCTAAAGATTCTCATGAGTGATAGATCTCACACTATTTTATATCAAATTACAAATGGTAGATCCATTTTTTTATTTCCATAAAACAGACAATCTTGATTTATTTTTTCATAATTATTTTGTGGCCTCTCTGAAAAGTTCCAGCTCCCTGTTCTGGAAAAAAGAGAAACTACCATACCTTGAATAGCTTTGGAATTCTTGTGAGCTTATGTTTGAGGAGGTTATAATGTCAAAAATAATATGCAGTACTCTGGAATATAAAACTAAAGCCTGTGTTTTAAGTTATAAAGATTAATAGGTATAACATTTTCTACAATTAGCTTATGCACATATTTATAGTAGGTAAAAAATAACCAAAGTTATACAGTCTTATGGCAAGTTTTTAAGATTCAATTTAATACTTCAAAATAATTTTGATGAAAGAAATCAATTGTAAAACCACTTTTCTAAAAAAGTGAACATATATAACATTTCCATTTAGAAACTGCTTTTATATCCACTGTATTAAAACACTATATTTTGTTTCATTCATTTTAAATAAAATGATTAACTAAAAACTGTTTATGTGTTTGGAAAAAAATATAAACTAATAATATTGTATTCATTAGAATCCTTCTAACTATACACACCTGGATATCAAACAATCATAAAACAGGATTACTTACTTGAATAGGGAGATGGCACATAGTTCATAATAGTTTTTAATCTTAAATCTTAACCATTAGGAGTTATATATACTTCATTACTTTTTAAAATGTACCAGCCTCTAATGTGAAGTTATTGATCACAAATGCTCAGAAAATAGACCTCTGCAGTGATTCTACGGCTTTGAGCTTCCGACCAGTCTCTTTCCTGCTATAAAGTGTTAAGAAGTTCATGTAACATATTAGCACAGCCTTACAACTCTGTTCTTGTGTCTTGGCAGGAACACATGGCTGTCTTACTTTATGCATGGATTTTCAGAAAGAAGAACTAGATGAGTAACATCAACTCTTGAAGTCAGAATTTCAAGAGAACAGATTACATGAATGTATGAGTGTATTTAAAGCAGAAGAAATAAATTTCTAACAACTTAGTAAAATTCTTAAAATACATTTTAAAAAGAAAGTTCAAAGACAATGGGTAATCAAGATATGTGAGAAAGAATGGATTCAGCAAATTACAAAATTTAAAATATCTGAGCCTCATAAAATACTGGATTAGTTTTGACCAATGAAGGAGACACTAAACTCTACTATAACTTTGTTTTAGCCAACCAAACTTTCTACAGTCAAATCATCTTCACGGTATTACAGCCATCTAGAGAAGTTTTCATCTTTTTACTTACAATCTTCACAAAATATACCTTTATTTTGTCTAGAGAAGACAAACTCCAAAATGCCTTGGCCAGCCTATGCAGTACCCTCTGCCCTTTACTGACACCCTCTGGTCCTTATTGCTAAGTCAGGTTTAACAGACAATCACCTTCCTACCTCTACCCTGAAAGTGGTCAAGATTTTCTAAACTGTGAAGTAAAAGAGACAGTTAAAGAAATTCACATTAGCCAAACCTGGTACATTTCTAACAGGTAGTTTTACTTAATTGGACACATAAGATTGAAGTAAATTTTCACAAGCAATTAATTTTAGCAATTCATCTTACATAAACATATTCTAGGTATCATTCATGATCTGATTTCAGTTTGGGTCCCTAACAAAGAATTGTTTCAGACCACCTAATAGTTGAAGTACTACCGTTCACCTTGGCAAACATTCAGGTATTTCATCTATTCCTTTAAAAATTCCACAACTGTGGCTTTTTTGATGTATTTCTAAAAGCAACCTGGTGTACACATGCCTCACAACTTATACACAATGCCTGGCATTTAGTTAATCTAGGGAGTTATATTTTTATCTAACTTTTAAGAATCTAACTTTCTGTTTAGTTGTCTGTGGAATCAGAAAAAGTAAAATTAGCAGTTTTTCTCTTCCATTCTCAATTTTCAGGAGTTTTAAATAATTTAGAGGATACACCAAATCTTAAGCAAAAACACTGGCACCTGTACTAACCATTTCACTGACTTTCTATTTTCAGATAGGCTTTAATATTATTTTCTCACACCCCAGCTAATTATTCTTCAAATTCTATTCTTTATATTGCATTTTCCTTTTTGCAACATTAACCCGGAATTTTTTGTTTTTTCTCCCTTTAATAGACTTAGGTGTTCTTTGTGTGTAATATCTTTAATTTGTTATCATTAGTTTTATACGACATAGTCTTAGTCATATCTCTTTATTCAAGTCAGAGCAAACTTACACCTATTAAGACTCGGTATAATAGTCCCGATTTAACTTAGAATAATTTGAGCATGAAATAGAAGAATATGCAAGCAACCATGAGAATTTGCCAAAATTGACTTACTGGCATTTTAAAAAACACTAATGACCTAATCATTTAAAAAAGATACTTAGAGTCACAATGTTAATCATAATGAACTCCCTTAAGCTCCCTGTAATGGTCATAAGTACCTCTGTAGTTCTGCTGCAATTCACTAGTAATCGATGATATCTGCATTAATTTTTAAATTTGACTATTTTTCTATATTTTTTAAATGCTAGTATTCTAAGGAACGTCTACTTCTTTCATCCTTATTTCCACAGTGAATACTAAGAATCAAAGTAGAAGTACTGAATCGCTAAATGATTTTCTCTTTTAAATTAAGAAACAAATGAATTAAATGTAGGTAAGGCATTGAACATACAACAGTTTAAAGGTTTTTTGCTTCTCACCTGCATATCAATTACCACATGAAATTGTATTTTTCACAGGAAAAGGGTTCTAAGATTTAAAAGTAATATAATTAAAATATTTAGTGGATTCTATTCTAGTTATTTCGCATACAAATTTAGTTGAAACAACTTCATCATTCAGGTAGTCAGAGTAATTCTCAGCTTATATAGTACATCAGGATTATATATGTGCAAATTGATATTTTCTTCCGTATATCTCCATCCAAAACTCAGTAAAGATGTCTGAACATCAGTTTTTAATCTATCACAATCCTATACAACCTTTAGAATAAAGCTCAGCATAATCTAAGATACAGTTTTTCTCAGTCTCACGAACTTTGTAGAACTCCGCTTATAGAGCATCCCTGGTGAATTTTAACAAGTTATTGCAATGCCAGATGCCCAGTTATTTAGTCTCAGAAACTCAGTGCTCAACCATAAGACATACATTCTATACCTGAGAACGACATTCTGTTTTCCGAACATTTGGTTTCTTTTGTGGAAACATTCTCACTTTATCTTGGAATTGTTTAGTCTTATTTTGGGTGGCATTCGGAGATAATCAAAAAGGTTATATTTACTCCTGTTTCAACTTTCTGCCATCAAATCCCAGCAGAAAATAACAGCATGTTTTCTTTCTTTATTTATTTTTAAAAAGCTTCATCTTACAGTTTTTACATTCTGGCAACATGGCAAGAAAGGATGGCTTTGCAGAAGCGAGTGTGCCGAAAATCCTAAGTGGCTGGGAGATGAAGTGCACAATCACAGAACGCAGTCACTGGCAAAGGAATGTCAGCCACTTACCAATAAGATGCCAGACTCCGCTGTCCTTCCTCTGTGACTCTCAATTCCTGTCTCCCATCCTCCTGCCCAGCAGCACAGTTCAGAGAGAGCGACTCGTCGGGTCCTTTGCAGCCTGTGGCAAAGGCAAACTGCGGAGTTCTTAATCATTCAGAGGGAATCCTCCAGCTCGCCCTGCCTCTCGCGGCAGAGGGGACCCAGGTAACGCATCCTCTCCGCCCCAGCTTTAATGGCACTTTGGCTGCCGCCTTCTCGCAGTTCGGCTCCCCCACGCCGTAGTTGGTTATATTGGGAAGTAGGTGCGGCGCCTCCTCCGGCTGGTGTGTTTGGGGCTCGCGTGTTTTCCTCCAATGCGTCCGCGCGCCCCGCGCCCCGCGCCTCTGACTGGCTGTGTCCTCCCGGGGCGGCCCCTCGCCCCTCCCCGCCCGCCGCCCTCCCGCGCTGTCGCCGGCGCCCGCGTCCAGCGCCTCACTGCCTCCTGCTGCAAAGGTTCATCTAGCATGTCCCCGGCTGAACGAACGGCGTGCCTCCAGGAGGGCTCCCTGTGCTGCTCCACCCGTCTCACTAGTCACCCGGCATTCTCCTTCCCTGCTAAGTACAGAGGGCTTGCCCCTCTTCCCCTAGCGTTTCTGCTCTGCAGCCCCTCGGTATTTAACATTCATAGATTACAAAGCAAACGTGCTGGCTGGAGACCGCACGGCAGATCCAGGCGAGAGTCCCTTCCTCCTCCGCTGCTCCCGTCTTCCCGCGGGTTCCCGGAGTCCCCGGCTTACACCTCTGACAGCTGCAGCACGGACTGACGCGTTCACTTAGGTCGGTTTCAGAGCGGACTTTTTCACTTTGCAGAATTGTCTTAAGTCCTAAATAGGAAGCACTTCTCTTTTGTTTCTGCACTTGCGAGTTTCATCTAAGGGACTATCAGGCTCTGCCTGATTTTATTTCTCTTTGATTTGGGGTGCGGAGTCAGTTCAAAAAAAGCGAAGGAACGGTCTCAGACAGCAACCTTTTTTTTCTGAATTTTTATATTACAATGGCTGTAATTGGAAAAATAACACAGGTAGTAAATCCACAGTGTGGCAGCTTTAGTGCCATTGTTCTGCCAGTCCTCCTCTCTACTTTTTTTTTTTTTTTTTTTTTTTCCTCTCAGTCTTAGAGTCGTTTGCCAGTTTCTGCGATTGGTCTGATGGTAACTAGGTATTTGTTAAATAAATTATGTAACATTTCCTTTGCTATATATTTCCATAGAGAATGTGGTTTGCACCTGTATTTAATGGAAAGGAAATCCCACTTAACTGTTTTATGTTTCTGTGTCTATATGAGAAACTGCATGGGAGTCTGGGGTCGCACCCCGTGTCGGCTGGTGTCCGTTTTTCATGTGTGTTTGAGAGCAGCCTGACCCTGGACTGACGCTGATTCCTCTGCTCACTGCATCCCCTGATGGGGTCTGACTGGCTCTAATTGGCAAGGAGAGTACAGTGCCATGCAGCCTGTAGCTGCAAGCCGTCTACCACCAGCTCTGTGTTCTTTCTCTTGCAGTTTTTCTGGTAATTAAAATTAGTCTTTTCCTGTTTCTTGGCTGCTTCTCACTCATCCAATGAGGTTGTACAAACACCCAGTCTCTGCTTTTAATCGCTACCCTCAGGAACCAGGCTGATTGCTTGTTCTGTAGCAAAGACAAATTTGTGTGCATTGAATGCTTCTCCACCCTTCCATACTTTTTATTTTCGTGTTCCTGCTTTCCAGTAATTAGGTTATCTTCTTTACGTGTTAACTGAGGGATTGTTGTGGAGACTCCCCTTCTGTGGCTTTTTCTCTCCCCACCGGCTCTCCTCCTCTTTCAGGCTGTGGTTCACAGAGAGAACTAAAAGGACTTTTATAACCACATTAAATATATCACAAAATAAATTAAAAGTGGAGGAGCTTTACAGCATTCTTTTTATTGTGCAATGAGGTTTTTGCCTTTAAAAGTGTATAATTGAGCACATGCAGCCTTAAAGAGGGGTCAGAAGTGTAGAAAGCTTACTAAAAGTTGTCTTCCCTTCATAGAACACCATTCTATATTACCCATGATCCGATAATTTGGGCATTTTGAGTCATCATATCACATCATTTCTTTCAACTAGCTTTGCTCTAGAAAGGATGTAGGTTGCCTTATAGAAATTTATCCAATTTAAAAAAAATGAATAAAAAATGTAGGCCAGTGAGATCAAGGAAAAGGGTAAAGTGATAGGAGGAGACATCAAATGAAGCCAGAAATGAGGTTTATAGAGAAAACTACATTGATGTACTATAGTGCTAGGTCTACCATTAAGGTTGTTAGCCGCTATCAGTCACGTGATTCACAGTGCCCTACTACCATTAACATGAACAAGAACATTTACCTTTCACATGATGTAAATGAACTAAATATTTCTCCTTTCTTAAGCAAAGAACTAAATAAAAACTTCTGATATTTTTACTTTTTATAAAGAAAGCAATATTATCACAAGAATAGGGTGTGAATACATTTTTGAAACAAGTAGATAATGTAATAGCACTTCACCTTGCAAAGTTATCTGATAATTTAGAAAGAGAGAAAGGAAATGTTGAATCTGTTTAATTAAAAATAGTAAGGTCTATTTCTGTCAGTTCAAATTTAAAATGTTGACTTCAGTCATTATTTGGGGGTGACTAAGTTACCTGGCTACACGTCATTCAGGACCCAGAAAGAGTGGTTATATTTATTCTCATTTCTTTTATGACTTTTAATGTTCTTATTTGTAATAATCTACAATTATATATTCCCTATTTATATATATAATAGGCAAATTGTTATTCCATCGGACTCACCTGTCTCTAGAATTTTGCCATTATGTTGTTAATTTGTGTGCTGTACAATTTTAAATTTTTGTGCTTGGAAAGTGAGGGCTCTACCGTTCAGGTACACTTCTGTATCCTTTTATATCTGCAGCGTTCAGGTTAAAGCAAGTCAATGTCTGGAATTAGAGAAACAATAGTGCTTAAAATAAAAAACAAACAAACAAATAAAACTCCTTACCAGAGTTCTACTAAAAAGAAACAAACTAACTTACGTTTTCCAAGTACACATCAAATATTTTCACATATCATGACCAAGATTTTCTACTATTGACATATGAAAATGGGATTTTAAGCGACACTTGTTTTGATGTAAGATCTGTCTTTAAAAGACATAAAAGTATGAATGCCCGGTTATTAAATTCCAATGCTGTTTACTTAACAAAATGGAATTATTAAAAGCTCACTGTTTTTTTTTCTCTATTTGATGTTTATGACATTTTTAAATTAACCAGCTCATCTGATACCCTAATAAAATATCATTTGGCCATTAAGTGAATTCTAACATTGTTTTTAAGTGGGTTACGTGGTTCAGTAGGGCACTTTCTCTATGCTATGGTTATGACACCTCAACCTAGCTGTCATGTGCTGATCTGATCTTGTTGTGTAGCCATCTTTGTGTAAATGTCTTAATCTCTTTATCTCATTGTCCCCAATGGGCAAGCAAGCAGATGCAGCACATCTGTAGCAGTTGAGCTGCCTCGAAGATTTTTTCTCATTCGTGTTACAGATTTTTATTTAAATCATGCCCTTCTTTCTGTTTCCATTCAATTGACTCAGATAAGGTTCTAGGTTCTAGTTAACAGATGATAACTATTATTATGTCCCATCAAATTGCAGCATAAATGTAGGAAAAAAGAGCAACGGTGAATTCATGTCTACATCAGTCATCTTTCTTGGATCACCTGCCTTGCCTACTAGAGCTTCCTTTAGCATTTGCGTTTCCTGTTTTGACGTTTTAATCCTCTATGTTATATTACCGAGAATGGTGAGTATGTAAGTACTAAGATCAAACTCTTGCATTTTCAATACATACCAGTGTTCCCTGTAAGTATAAAGTAACACATGAAGAAGCAAAAGTAAACTTTTACTTGAACTGGACAAAATATGATGATTTTAATTATATTTTGAGTTTCTTAGTAGATGAGTCTTAGAATTCATATCGCAGCTGTTTTGTGAAAGCCGAGGTAAACATATCTTAATCAGACTTGGAAAATATACCGACTTAATTAATTTAACAGCTGCTTCAGTAAACAGCACTAAAGAACATAGTCTACTTTGTCACTGTCTTGATCACATCGGAAGTCAAAACTATGAAGAAGTATGAGAGAGGAGCTCTAATTCAACCGTGGTGGTCAAACTTTTGGTGGTCACAGTACCAGCTCTTACTTGTAGAAGCTGAAAACATGAAGCTTCTACATGTAAGCAGCAAATATTAATAATCATATATTAATGATCTAATGGAATTCATGCTCACACTTTGTGACATTTTGGTCCAGCCAAAACTTCCTTTTTAAAGCAAGAACAATAAACATTGGCAGTTAATTAAGATTTCAGAAAAGAGAAGTAAAAGTTGAAATCTTACCGATTTAAAAGTAAAATTTACTTAGTAGTTTTCATCCAGTAGATTCCTTTAGATACGGATTTCTACATTTGTTTCTTGGATATATTTTCATTCTCAGGATTTCTATAATCTATTACCTTTCTAACATCTATTACCTTTATAGATGCCTAATTTCTCTTTTACATAGCATTCTCTCACCAAGATCTTCTGATATAAAGTTATTTCCACAAAGAAACAAAAATAAGAGTCATTTGCTCATGACCAGCTATTTCTCTGTATTGCTGCTGTTTACATGCTGTTCTTCTCAATATGGAATGAAATATCTAATAGTTTCTTATAATTAGTCTAATCTGCTCTTTGTGGTTTGGAAGAATGGCCATATGTGTGTTGGATTTAATTTTTCCCCATCTCTTCCCTATCTCCCACGTCTGTCAGGAATGTTAACTTGACCTGTCTTTGACATTTGGCCCTACATCAAAATAATCATCCTTCAAAAATACTGCTATCAAATACTGTTCCCATCTTTATATATTAGCCATTCCTGGTCTCATCTACAATATTTCCAAACTGTACTTAGAATCCGGGTTAAAACATTTTGTGTAGGTCTTTAAAACATTTTGTGTAGAACTAGACTTTATGCCTTCTGTGGACCAGGAACTAAATTCTTCCACCCCTCATTTTGATATACTTTGTGTTTAAATTTTTCCTGGCTGAGTAGTGTGTATAGAGGATGTCTCATTTGTTTGTCTGAGACTAACTCCCAGAGACTGCATTTTAAATA